ATGAGCCAGTTGTTAAACACAGCCACTACTAAAAGTTAAATTGTGCAAACTTACAATAAGTAAATTATATTAAAGGTAATATTCAAAACTCATTTTGTCTCATTTTACATTTTATTACCTATGCTCAAAGCTTTTATGTCTCCTTCAGACATACGGTGGAGACCCCACGTAATGGAGTTACTAGGCATCTCTTCCAACTCCAGGCTCACTGACATCATGTCAGTATCCTGAAAGTGGCCACGGTGGGAGGATTTATATCATGAAAACCGGCAAACACTATAAATAAGGCTTTTCCCATTTGGTGTATGCTAATCATGCACCAGCACAACCATGGGTAAGTGCTATAACAGAGACATACACCAGTGTTTTAACAGCAAGTCTCAACAGAGTATGGGCACCTAATCGAGCCTGGACAGGTCAAGTCAGTTGCTGAGAAACCAACAGCTCAAAGCATCTCGATTTAAGCCTGGAACTATAATAGCTTCCTAACTAGTTGGTCCCCGTCTTTAGTTCACTGAACCACATACAATGCGATCATCTTCACTTTCCTCAAATACAGACCTCATGCTACCCACCCCTCAACACAAAATTCCCAATGGCACCCAAATGCCTACGGGATAGTCCGAGGCTCAGCCTAATGCCATCCCATGCCCCTCTTCCTCTCATTGCTCTCCCATGCCCAAATGCTCTGCTGCTCTCAAGGCAGGTCTTGCCTACCGTGGTAGGCAAGATTCCAAGCAGGCGCCCAGTAGTCCAGCCCCTGGTGCACACATCCTCCCCTTGGGCCTGAACGGACTCGCGAACTCTTGATTAGGTTACATTTCGCAGCAAAGGTGAAGAGATGTTACAAATGAAAGTAAGGTCCCAAATCAGTCGACTATGAGTTACTCAAATGAGACCCCTGGGTGAGCCTGACCTGAGAGGCTCCAGAGGTCAGAGATTCCCTCTTCTGACGCCCTTCAAGAAGCAGGCCACCAGGAGTTCTACAGGTGCAAGAAATGAATTCTGCCAACAAGCACACGAGCTCAGGGGAGGACCCTGAGCCTTGTGTGAGACCACAGCCCTGGCTGACACCTTGACTGCTGCCTTGTAAGACCCTGAGCAGAGGACCCAGCTAAGCCATGCCTAGACTCCTGACCAGAAGTCAGAGAGGTAATAAACGGTGTTTTTTAAGCTGCTAAGTTTGTGGTAGTTTGTTACAGAGCAATAGAAAACTAATACCTCGCCCTTACCCCAGCCTAATTTTAAACCCCTTCACATCCCAAGCTTTGCCTCGTGCTGCCGCCTGGCCTAGGATGCCCTCCTTTGTGCACTTTAAAACATCTGATTCAACAATTAAGGTCTGTTTACATCTCATCTCCTTCCAAATGGATTCCCTTCAGCCCCATCCAACATTGTATTTTCGATTTCTATAACCCTTATAATTTGTATACCACTCCTTGGTCCTAAATTACACTTAAGTCAGCTAACTGCTTTAGATTTCTAGAACGTGTTATATTCTGCTGTATCTTTACAATTTCTTCAGTGCTTTTTACAGTGTGGCAAGTAACCCCCAAAAACGTAGAGACCAGCCATCAGAAACCCCATCCCTCTCTAGTCTGTAGCCCTATTATTTCACATACTTCTGAAAATGAAGCATACACAGATTACTGCAGCTTCCTGATCAGTCTGTGAGATTATATATATACTGAGGGGCACATATACACACAAAGGAGTTTCCATTATACAAACTCTTTTGGTTTAAAACTAACACTAAAGGACAGGGCCATCTATCACAGCAGCGTCAGCTTTCCCTCGCCCTCGATTTTTGTCTCTTTCTAGTCTCTTTCTTCTTACTCTTCCTTTCCTGCCTTACCTATACTTGCTTTTGGTCCCTCTATTCCTCGTCCCTTGATATTTCTTTCTTTTTCACCCCTTTTCTCTCATAATTCACCTCCCCTCCCACCTGATTTTCCTCTTCTCTTCTTGTCTATTTATCCCCTACAATTTTCCATCAGTGTAAACTATGGGCAGGTCTCTTCTACTATGTGGTGCTTAGATATCCATATTTGTCTAGTCTCCACTCAACCACACAGAACACAGTTCTTTCCAACTTACTTAAACTCCCACTAAAGTAATCACTAAAAAATTTGTCAAAACCACTTAAATAATAAAATGGGAAGGCTAACTTGAATTGAACGAGTCATAGTGACTGGACTGAAATCATTTCAAGGACTTATGGAAAAAGTGAGTCTGAAGAAAAGACCAGGGTCATACATTAAGCATTCGAGATTGGGGAAATACATACAACTAGCATTTTTTTTTTTTAAATTTTTTTTTTTTTAAAGAGCCCATAAGGACACTAGATATTAGACTATACCCATTTTACAACAAATGAAGAAACTAAGGCCAAAAGAGGTTAAGTGATTAGCTCAATGTCATCCAGTTAGTCACTAGCATAGCGAAAAAATACACCTCTCATCAGTCAACGTGTGTCCAAGGAGTTGCAGGTGGCTGAAGTTGAGTGAAAAGCAGCATAATATACTGGGCAAAATAAACTGCAAGAGGAAATTTATGGATTAGAACTTACTGGAGCCACTGAGCTTGAAAAGTCACGTTTTCATGCGTGTAATTCCACTTAAGAACATAGACCTGATTTTCGGCACTGATTTGTATGTTTTCTGGTGGAGGCAGTTTATTTTCAACTGGAAGACAAAGAATATACAAAAGAGCATATATATTTACTCTAGTGACAGAGTATGTGGTAAGAATTTTTAACAGCATGGGCAAGAAGAGGCTTTCATTTTATCATTATGAGGTAACAGTTAAATAAGTTACAGTGTATATTCATACAATGTAATACCTTACAGCTATTTAAAAGAATGCGATAGACTGACATACAAAGAGATCTTCAATAAATTAGATTAAGTAAGAAAGTTGTAAAATATATCCAACAAGAGCAGTTTTTTTAATTTAAAACACAGAATAACAACAAAAAAACAAAAAAACAAAAAAACTATGTCTGTGTATATGTTGATATAAGTCCTGGAAAAAGTTTGAAAGGAGATACATAAACTGCTAGCAATGCTTATCTCTGATAAACAGAACTGAGGGTAGGAGGCAGGAGAAGAAAACTTTCCTTTAAACCACTCCCTATGGTTTGATTTAAAAAAACAAAGCTTATTAAATTTATAATTAAGGTAATAAACAAATTTAAGCTCCTATCAGTGACTTTAATTGTTGGCAAGATGTCACTGATTAAATATATCAAGATGCTTTCATATTTTAATGTTTCACTTATAAAGGTAGAATTTTTGGAAGACTATTCTTCTAGCAACTGTCTCCTCTTTTTTGTGGATTCTGAAGAAAATTTTTTGCTTATGTATGTGCTTTTGTTTTAATATCTATTAAACCATCGTATAAATTTCAGCAACTATGCAAAAAATGCCAAAATTAATAGACTGCCTATCTGTATACAGCTATTGAATCTAAAGCAAAACTTCCTCCTTACCTGTAGTATTTACACAATACGCTGGACTATAAAAAGCAACTTTTCTCTGTGAACGTAGTCCTGCTTTAACTTTTAAACAGTAAGTTGTCTCTGGTGAGAGTTTATTAATTTTACTTCCGGGAATAACAATTTCAGTCCTGTCCTTTAAAAAAGTACAAAGTCAAATTTTAGAATTAATTCACACTGTTTTTCTCTCATAGCAAACAAAGGTAAAAATAATGCTTACTTCTACACTTGAAGACTTTTTCCAGATGACTACGCTGTATATAAAGCTTGTACTAGCCATGGCCCACATGGTACTGTTTTTTGTTCCAGGAGGAGAGATGTTTACTATTATTGCCTTATCTTCAGGATCTAAATGTACTTCTGGAGGACCAATGTGAGCTGCAAAAATCAAAACATTTACTATATAACCTCATTAATACAACACCGAAACATTCATTCAACAAATAATTCTGATTGCTTAATATGTGCCTGACATAATAAAGCAGAGGCAGTCCCTTGTTAATGGAAATATGGCAAAAAAAAAAAGCAAGCCCAAACAAATACATATAACGTCATGTGTGCTATAAGGAAAAATGAAGTACTCTAAAGGGACGGAGAATGGTAACAAGAGCTGATTAGTTAAGCCAGTCAAGAAAAGCCTCTCTGAGACACCTGAGCTGAGACCGCACTCAAATGTGGGAGAATGTCATGCAAATACCCAGGGGAAAAGTAGGTACTCCAGGCTGGGCCTGCACCAAGTGCAGGGCCCCTAAGACGGGAAGGTGCTCGCCATTTCCAAGAGACAACAGGGGGGCTCGAATGTCTGAGAGGTAGAAAATGAGATGTGAGAGGTAGTTAGCCAGGTAATAACTTGAAGGCTGAGACTGGAGGAGTGCCATAGTATGATCACCCCGATTTACCTACGAGGGAGCAGGGAGACCAGAAGTAGCTATTGCAATAGCTCGAATGACAAAAATGGCTTGATGAAGGCTCGCAGCAGGAGTGGAAGTGACAAGGGGTTGGATTCAGGATATACTCTGAAGGTTGATCGTTCACAATATGTTGACAGATTAAATGCAGGACGTGAGGAAAAGAGACGTTAAAGACGATGCCAAGGCGCTTGGCCTGAGCAAACAGATAGGTGGTGTCATTAACAGAGATGGAAACGCTGCAGGAAGAGCTGGTTTCCAGGGGAAAGATGAAGAGCTTTATTTGGCCATTCTAAGTTTGAGACGACTTTTAGGGATCTAAGTAGGAATGCTGAAGAGAGCTGAAGAGTGATACAAATCTAAAGGTAAGGGGACGAAAAATGGGGCTGGAGATACCATTTCGGGAGTTAAGAGCATAGAGATGGTGCAGAAAGAGAAGAGGTGAAATGACTGGGCCCTGCGGCAGTTCAACACTGCAGGGTCTGAGAGATGAGGAGAAACTGGCCAAGGCGTGGCCGACGAGCAGGAGAGCCAGAAAGAGCAGTGCCCTAGAGATCCAGGGATGGAAGTGTTTCACAAAAAGGGAGGGACGACCATGTCGATGCCACAGAAAAATGGAGCCAGAAGATGACTGGGAACACAACTGGCATCATGCAGGTCGCTGGTGACCTGGACAAGAGCGGCTTGGGTGTCATGATGAGGAACGAAGCTCGAGTGGACAGGGCTGAAGAGGAAGTGGGGGGAGAAGAGGTACAGATAACTCCGAGTTTCGAACAGGGCGGTGGTTCCCAAACTTTCTGGTCTCGGGACCCCTTTACACACTTAAACTGAGGATCTTAAAGAGCTTTTCTTTATCTGGGGTATGTCTTTCAATATTTAGCATATTAAACACTAAAACTGAAAATAACTTAAAGTATTTATAAATTTACTAAAAATAATGATAAACCCATTACATGCTAACAAATGTGTGTTATGAAAAATTAACTCTATTTCCCCAAACCAACCAATCAAAAAAGCTTAGCGAGAAAAGCGGTGCTATTTCACGTTTTGATCAAATCTCTGGAATGTCTGGCTTAATAAAGAAGACACATGTATCTCACACTGACTCCTGTATTCAGTCTCCAAACCACACATCAAACAGTGTCTGGCAAACACCAGCGTACACTCAAGAGAGAATTTAAATGAAAAAGGCAAACGAGTCTTCCGAATTATTATGAAACTGTTTTGGCTTGACCTCCTGAAAGGGTCTTGTGGACTATGCGTTAAGGACCGCTATTACAGGGAAAGCAGAAAAACGA